GTTAGGATCAGGTGAGGATCAGGTAAGAATCATGTTAGGATCACGTGAGGATCATGTTAGGATCAGGTGAGGATCATGATACAGTCACATCAGGATCATGTTAGGATCACATGAGGATCATGTTAGGATCAGGTGAGGATCACGTGAGGATCACGTGAGGATCATGTTAGGATCACGTGAGGATCATGTTAGGATCGAGTTAGTTGAAATCTTTCATGTGAAGATGAACTGGATCTCTTCCTCACGTTAACCTTTACTTTGAATCAATGATCAATAATCGGATCGATTCTCCGTCTCTCCTCTCAGACATCTTTGGGACCAGTGAAGACATCAGTCGCTACAGAGCCGAGATCCTGGAGGCGGCCTCCTCTGAAGCCAGAGAGGATTATGGGGACGCGTACATCTCATCCCTCCCCAGCGGTTTGTCCAGACTGTCCCAGCGTTCAGCTGAGGATCTGTCCCCTGTTGTGGACGACATGTGTCATGCTCTGCTGTCCGTCCACCCCAAACCTCTGTACACCCCTGGACAGATGGGATGGCTGCTGCCGTTTGTCCACCGCCACTGTCCCACCGCCATCTTTGACGTCATCATCAAGACTTTAACTAAATACAACGACTGTGAACCGGCGGGACTGAGGACGAGCTGAGACACCGTCCACATTGATCCATTCAGGTCTCAAAGCTAGAGAGAGATTTCTTCCTCGTTCTCAACAATAAAATAAAATATATTATGAATGATATTTATCATCAATGACGTAAATGTTTTTTTTAACGAGAAATTAGTCTGGAAGTGGAATCAGCTTCAATTAACTTGATCTCTGAACAGACTTTTATTGTGAAAAGACAGAGCAAAGACTTAACATTCAATCAAATGAATCTTCTGTTTCTCGTTTTCTCTCCTGTCAATTAAAAATCAGTCCAAATTAAATTTTAAAAACAGGAGATTGATTTTTAATGAGTGAAAACATTTGAACGCTCACAGGTTCTCAAAGATAAATCTTTAAAAAAGTAAAGACAGGATGTATAACATCCACTTCCATCCGAAAAAACACAACTATGTCAAAAAAACATCATTAACATGCAGACGCGTTCTGTAAGTTCAGTCCTGAGGTTTCAGAAAAATTTTCTTTATGTTCGTTTCTACGATGTTTTGATTGACGTCCTCGTCCGTCGATGCTCGCTCTCGCTTCTTCTCAAACTTCCTCTTCATGCTCCCGACCAAACTCTCGTACCTGAAACGATGAAAATAAATCGTATCACACTGAATTCACTGTTATTTATATATATATGTCAAATCAGTTAAAATCATCTTTTATGGTGTTTGATTAAAAAATCATGCAGCTGAATAAACGTCTTAAATTGCAAACTGAAAAAAAATCTGTGATTTAACTTTTTTTACAGGTTGAATGACACTTTTTTAATATAAAATATATATGTATAATATTTTAATCTATGATGAAATGTATTAATAATTATTTAAGTACAACCTCAGAGCCATTTCTTCATCTGTGACGTCTGTTTGCATCCTGCTCGTCTCCTCCTCTTCCTCAGCTTTGTCTTCGTCTCTCGGATTCATCAACATCATCAGTTTCTGTGTCAGACAAAAAACGTCGCCATCCTCACTTTTATTTTTCAAATATTGACCTTTAAATATCGCACATGAGACGATTTATTCAGCTTTAATCAGTGAGAAGAGTCTTGATGAGTTATTAGATGAGTTATTGATTAGTTGGAAAAGGAGGAAGAAGAGGTAAAGAAACTTGTTCCAGATGTTTGAGTGGTTGTGTCACCGTCTTCGACGTTAACTCTGACACACATGAGAAGAAGAAAAGTGAGACAAACCTCCACTTCAGGATTAAATCCTCTGAATGACAAGCGACCGAACTTCAGATCTTCACATGGAACAAAACTCTTCTCCTCTATGATCAGAGTCCTGGGGGGGGGGGGGCAGAACGTGACGTCATGTTGCTGCCTCACATCATCACATCTCCACTAAACAGGAAGTGACACCAGACTGTTTCCTGCGCTACAAATCACCATGACAACAGCAGTGGAGAGTAACTAAGTATTTTACTCAAATAGTTGAGTATGAACACGAGGCTTCATCCTGACATGTGAGAAGTCCTGCTCTGCTTCTTACACTGATCTGTGACTCACTCTTTAGCTTTGAGCTCAGGCAGGTCCAGGTACCAGTGCTCATCACTGATGATTCTCCGCTCGTCCTCCTCCAGCTGTTTCTTGGTCTCAGCGTCCAGACCTCTCTGCATGAACTGAACATCACCAGCACGTTAACTTTTAATAACAGTAGAAACACACACGTATACAGACGAAACATCTCTTTCCAATTAGAGTCATTAGTTCAGCAGGTTTCACTTTTTAATTTTACACGTAAAGTTTAAACTTTATCACAAACTTCAGACGATGTTTAACATTTTACTGAGGAAATAAAGACTCGACTGCTAACGGGCTAACCAGGACGGCTGCTAACGATATTAGCATCAGTTAGCAAACACAGCTTCACTTACTTTCATGCGCAAGAGGTTTTTAGAAAGTTTCACTGAATCACTGGACATTTTCACCAGAGAGAGGGTGAGACAGAGCGAGTGAGACAGAGAGAGGGTGAGACAGAGCGAGTGAGACAGAGAGAGGGTGAGACAGAGAGAGGGTGAGACAGAGAGAGGGTGCGAACAGTTAGCTTCAGGCTAACAGCTAAATCCACGAGCATCTGCTGCTCTGACAGACAGAAGCAGACGAACGTCGAGCGGCCCGGAAGGCAAGTTAATCTACCTCTGATGTTATCGATGTCCAAAAACAATGTTTTTTATAATAACAATAACAATAACAACAATAATAACGATAACAACAATAATAACGATAATAACGATCATAATAAAGTTCATTTTAAGGGTTCAGAAAAAACAAGTGAACGCGCTCAGCTACGTCATAAACAGGCGCCGTGCGGTTTGTTTACTGGCGGTAGAAAATGGAGGCGGACACGGAGGAGGCCTCGGCCTCGGCCCCGGCAGCAGCTTTGCTGGGCTCCGTGCTGAGCCTCGGTGGTCCTCCGGTGTTCGCCCCGCAAATGTGTGAGCTGTACCGGCTGCAGGCGGCCGTGCTGCGGCGGCGGAGGCAGCGGGAGCTGATGGAACGGGAACGGCGGAGGAGGCAGTACCTGCGGAGGAGGAGAGCCTTCCTCCTGTCTTCCATCGCGGCTGCGCTCAGTCTCCTCTCCACCACCAGCAGACCCGTCTGGGTCCGGGACCGAGGCCCCGGGCAGAACCTCTGGGCCACGGCCGAAGCGTTCGACGACGAGGAGTGGAAGGCGCAGTTCCGTGTGTCCCGGTCCACCTTCGACTTCCTGCTGGAACTGATCGGTCCGGCGATTAAACGCCGCAAAACGAACTACCGCGTCCCGATCGAGCCGGGCCGCCGGCTGGCCATCACACTGTGGTGGTTGGCCCGGTCCGGGGAGTACCGCTCCATCGCAGACATGTTCGGGGTGGGGATCGCCACCGTGTGCAACATCGTGCGTCAGGTCGCCTGCGCCATCGTGGAGCGGCTGTTTCACCGCTTCGTGTCGCTGCCCAGCGGCCCGCGGCTGGACGACACCCTCCAGGCCTTCAAGGACCGCTGCTACCCGCAGTGCGCCGGGGCCATCGGCGGGACCCACATCCCCATCGCTCCTCCGAGGGAGAACCCCGACCACTACATCAACCGAAGCGGCTGGCACTCCGTCATCCTGCAGGCGGTGGTGGACCACAACGTCTGGTAAGAACCGTGTCTGGTAACATGAACATGGTCCGACGTCCCGGTGACGTGTGTTTCTGTCCCGGCAGCTTCACGGATGTGTACGCCGGTTGGCCCGGAAGCAGCAGCAGCGCCACGGTGCTGTGCAGCTCGGACCTGTATCTGAAAGCTGAGGACCGGCCCGACGGATACCTGTTCCCCAGAGAGGTGAGGTCAGAGGAGATCTGAGGAGGTCAGGTGAGGTCAGGTCAGGTCATGTGAGGTCAGAGGA